GTTCGGCGCCGTAACGAGCCCGTCACAACTTCTGACTGCGCCGGTCATTAGCTGGCCCCGATAGCTTTTATTCTTTAACTTCTTTTGCAAGACTGACTTTTCCACTGTTCTTGTCAAGACATTAACTCTCTTTGCTACCAGCGCCCCTCTCTCTCTCCGTAGCTCCACTGCAGTCACCCTCCCTCCCCAGCGGGAACACCAGCCCCAGACTACAGCCGCAGTTTCGATCGCAGAGCCACAGCTGTATCTCTCACTGTCCACAATGTCTTTAATTCTGCCAAGTTTACCAATTAGCTTGTGTTACAAAAACCCCAAACCAATGTGAAATTCATGCCCTTACAGGCCATGAGTGCCCAAGTTATTTAAAACAAGCTGCTGCACACCAGATCTGTGCCGGGAATCCACACAAGTGAGAGATGCCGCGCTCTGTAACCGCTGCTGCTCTTTTCCCCGCTCACCTACGACTGCTCACGTGGCAAACTGGACAGGCTGCCCAGAGCCAACCCCTGTCCGAGCACAGGCAGCAACACCGCGGAGTATTTCTGAGGCCTTTCAGAACCCTTTTTCTATACACAGAATCTTAAATTTTCCTTACAGGGACAAACCTCACGGTATTTTCCAGAAAGAAGCAGTAAGATTCATCCACATCTATCACAGGTCTCTACCATCTGACTGAAGAGTTAATAGCTCTTTCCCCCAAATTATCTTCACCCAAATAACTCTTCTAGCCAGGCCTCAACTCTCTTCCTCAGCTCACTGCAGATGTTCCCGGACTCAAGGACCTTCCTGGGAACCTGAGGTTCATGAGTGGTAGCTCCTTCCGCTTCTGCCTTTACTTTATGATTCAGAGACATATTTTCAAAAAACCCAAGCGCTGTTTACAAAATTTTTGCAGCACATATAGGCTGTACATCTCAGCATCTCTAATTTTTTTTTTTTTTTTGCTTGAGAGAATCCAAGAACCTGCCAGTGCTGGAACCTCCTTCCATGGGCTCTGGCCACACAGGGTGAGGTTCTGCTGCCTGAGGCAAGGACGGTGAAGACAAGAGGTCTGGGGTTTGCTTCAAAAGCCACTCATCCCCCACCAGCACCCATCGGTCATGGCCAGGAGCTTCTTTTCCTTCAGGCAAATGGAATTTGAGAAGCCCATGGCTCAACAGGCAGCCCTGCTCTCCTCATGGCTGAGCCACCTGAAGCCATTACGGGCATTGGCGAGGGCACGTCTGGAGGCGCGGGGCTGGGTTTGGGCACCCCTGGCCC